TTATGTAGCTTGTTTATTTTCTTTTTTTCTGGAAAAAATTCGAGAATTCGATCACGCTTAAAATTTTTTTTTCTTTCTGTTTATATTATATACATCTCTTATTTTATAACTTATGTGGCTTCATGATTTTCAATTAATTACATTCAAAATTGTTTCCTTTTGTATTTGGTGCTACTTTTGTTGCATCGAATTGGCAATTTTTTAGCATATGTAGCTGCGTTATTGGTGGCTAGTTTTTGGGGATTTTAAGCATTTGTGGCTGAATGGTTAGTTCGTGAGACTCAAATTTACTATGTCGCAATGTTTTGCTGATTCGAGTTTTTGCTAAGCCTCGGGTTTTTGCAAATTCGAGGCTTATTTATACTTTTTTTTATGTCACTTGATAGAGCTGCTTTTTGGTCGTATTCTCGAAAGTGTTTGCGAAGCGCAGCTTTGCCTCTGTGTTTAGCTATAGTTACCACCCATTCCTGCTTTCTTTAACGAAATTCAATAATTTTTCTTGAAAAAGTTATTCGGACAAATAAAGGAAATACTATAGGAATTTTTTTTCAGTGCAATCAGGACATTTCTTAAGTTTAATCTGAATACTTTTCTGAATTAGTAGACATTGTCTCATTTTGTGATGACGAACGTGCTAGTCTATGTTTAATATCCTACGAAAATGTCGCCACTCATTATTTTTATAATTATTAAGAGCCATGAACTTAGTGAGTACTCTTATATAGGTCTTGGTGATTTTTTTTTTAGGAAAGTCATAAAATTTGTTCATGCTAAAGTTTGATTTTCGCGGTTTGACAATTGATTTTTTTAAGTTCACGGTATTTTCCTTGTTGAAAGGAAGGCAATCTCCACTTTTGAACATCAAAAAAGTAAAGGTCAAGAAAAACTTGATCGACATGTAGATTCGAAAGTGGATTTCGAATTTCATATTCCCCAGCGAAATACTGAAATTACGTATTGATCCAGGTTTCTCGAGTTGGTATAATTTCAGCAATAAAAGTGTCAATCATAATTTGCTCTAGATTTTCATGGAATTTTAAATCAATCTAATTTTTCATGAACTTCGAAAATTGAAGTTTAACAAAAAAAAACAAGTTTCCTGGGCGTTCATGACTCTTTTCCAACTGTCCGTTTGCTATGTTTCGAACTGTCTGTTGACTATGTTTCTAGCTGCTTGTTTGCTATCTTTCATGGTACTATGCTTTATTTTGATACCACAATTGATCCTTTGAGTGATTTTTGAAAAAAAGCGAAAAAAAATTTAGAACAGGAGAATTTTTTTCGCACTTGAAAGTTTAAGATAGTTATAGGTCTGCACAAATTGTTTCATTTTTGTAAAATGCCAAACTTTACCACTGATTTCCACTTAGCTTTTTTGTTTTTGATCTCAGAATTACGATTCAAAATAGTTTTTTTGCGCAATTTTAGGCATCTCAAAGTTTACTGATTGTAATTAAGTGTTGTGCATTTTGGAGTCTTTTCAGTCTTGGTTCTGAAATAAAATTTGATGATGAAGCTGGCCCGATTTTTGATCTCCAGGCAAAAATTTAATGGACAAAGCAAAGTATCATCATTACTATGCCAAAAGTTTTTTAAATAGTTCATTGATTTGCTTTATAATGGTGTTTTAGTCTGCAAAATTATCATTCATCTAATTTTGCTTCCGAGAAATTCTGTTTTTTGGTATTTCGAAAAAATTAAAAGTTAGATTTGAAAAATATTTTCCCTGATTTAAAACTCAAGACGAAATGATGTTGAGCTTCTCGCAGAGGTTGCAGATGTGGCCTCTAATTTTGACTGCTGCCATTTTTTTTAGTCTTCGGAATTTCATGTTTATTTCTATGGGTTTGAAAAGATTTTTCCAAAAAGTTTCAATTTTCAATATCTAAGAAATTTTTTCAAAAAATTATGATGTTTTTCAAGTTAATACGTTCGATTAAACAATTAATGGCACCAATTGATATACGTACCGAGTAATCAAAATATTTAACTAAGTTAAAGAAAAATATACTTATTGGCGAAATTTGTGATTTACTACAAATGAAATCTTTTGAGAATTGTTTTTTGAAAACGTGAAGTAGTATGTTGTCGGCTTTTGTGGTTTAATTTCTGAGTTAATGTGAAGATCTGCCCAGTAGTTTTAAGTTTTAGAGTTTTCCGCGTAGCTTTAAAAAAGAACCTCAAAGTTATATATTTTTTATTAAGAGTAATGAACGTAGTGAGACTCTTACCAAGGTCTTGCTGATTTTTGTTTAGTTTTTCAGGGAAAGTCTCAAAAATCTCTTAACTACAGATATGCATTCATGCATATTGATGCATTTATGATTGCACTTAGATATATATGCTTTTTTTGAGTTCAATTGAGATTCATCTGCTGAAAGTGACGTAAAAAGCTCTCTCCAAAAACGAATGTGGAAATGGCGCGAAACAAACCTGAACGACTTCTAGTTTTGAAAACGAAATTTTTAGATATCCAGCGAAATAAAAACGTTACTCATTGATCCAGTTTTCTCTAGTTGGTTTCCTCTTATCAAAAAAGCGTTAATCGTGCTGGAAATTCAAAGATCTTAAAGGGCATCTATTTTTTTCTTTGAAATTCAAATCTTCGAGGCCAACTGGGATGGATTAACAGGTTTATGCTGGTCCTCTCCCTGTCGAATAAATAGTGTTAACTGAAAAAGAAAACTGAGGTATAAATTCTGAATAAGAAGCTCAAATTGAATAAATTAAAACAGTTGATTCCAAAATGACAAAATGTGAACAAAGAAATTGACTTCCTGGTGAAATAGTGTAACGCTCAATTTATTAACTTTGATTTTGTGTGTCAACGAATCAAGTGACGGTGGTTATCTAGCTTGTTTATTTTCTTTTTTTTTTGGAAAAAATGCCAGAGTTTGTTCACGCTTGAAATTATTTTTTCGAGGATGAAATTTTTTTTAAGGTTACTTGAATTTCAGTTGCCACGTAAAAAGCAAAGTTAACTCTCCAACCTTGAAAGTAATTGATAAAACAAAATAGTTGGAAATTTGTTGCAGCTTTACAGCTTATTGATAACATTTGCTTTGACATCGAATAGTTATAAGTTAACACATTTTATTTCATCAAGTGAACCGAAAAAAGCTACTTGTTTCAAACAACATAAGAATCATAATATTTTGATTTCAGAGTTTTTCTAACTCAATATATCACGTAATTTTTTGAAATGCATAATTTGTACAAATTGTGTCTTAATGATATGCGTTTTTTGTACATGCAAAATTGTATCTTTTTGTATTTGGTGCTACTTATGCTGCATCAAATTGGTAATTCCTTAGCATATGTAGCTGCGTTATTGGTGTCTAGTTTTTGAGGATTTTAAGCATCCGTGGCGGAATGGTTAGTGCGTGAGACTCAAATTTGCTAGCTCGCAGATTTTTGCTACGCCTCGAGTTTTAGCAAATTTGAGGCTTATTTCTTCTTATGTCACTTGATAGCGCTGCTTTTTGGTCGTGTTCTCGCAAGTGTTTGCAAAGCTCAGCTTCGCGTTTGTGTATATTTTTGTTTGTTTCGGTTTCTTTTCAAAAAAAAATTGTTTCTTTCCGTTTGTTTGAACTCATATGTTCAACCGTGATTGTTTTGCGAATGGAGAATCGTTGATAAAAATTCATGATATCCGAGATTAAATTTCGTCAGATACTGTGCCTTAGAATCAGATAAATGATTGGAATGTTTTTAAGAGCAAGGAACGTAGTGAAAACCCTTATATAAGTCGTGCTGATTTTTTTGTTTTTTTTTTCGGGAAAAAATCTTAAAATGTGCATAAAAGTATCTAATAACTACAGATGTGCATTCATACATTTATGAATGCACTTAGGTATATATGCAATTTTTGAGTTCATTTGAAATTGATCTGCTGAAAGCGACACAAATAGCACTCTCCAAATACGAACGTGGAAATGGGGCAAAAAAAAAACGAACATTTTCTAGTTTTGAAAGTGGAATTCAGTTTTTAGTTTTCTAGCGGAATAAAAACTTTGCCTGTTGATGCAGTTTTCTCAAGTTGGGATACTTATCAAGAAAGCGCCAATCATAAATCGTTCTACAAACTCAAACAGCTTGAAGGGCATCTATTTTTTTCTTTGAAATTCGAAAGTTGATATTTTTCAAGAAAGTCAGTGTTTTTTTATGTTAACCTGCTTTCATTTTTCTTTTTCAATCTTGGATTGGCTATGATGGTCAATATGTGAATTATGAAGCGTCGTGGGCAGCCCCCGTCATTTTTAATAGCATGTGTTTTATTTTTATAGGATGTATTTTATCGGCTTATTAGAGAGAGATAGAGCCTGGTATTAGATGAAGTGTAAAGGGAGGTAGTTGGCTCCGTCAGAAAGACAAAGGGTTCATAATCACAAGGTTTCGAATCATGTAGTCTAACTTTATTTTTGCTGCTTCAAACCTCCCTTTTGCCATTTTGTAGCTTATTTTTTGAACTGCTGCATTCTCGCTGTGTATTTTTGGTTTTCTTCTATTTGCGGAAAAGTTGAGCATATTTGTTCACCCCATTGAGCGCGGATTAAGTTTTTGTATTTGTGTTATGTAACTTAAATAATTTCTGTTGAATTTCCAATCTGGTGAATTTTAAACTCTCATAACCTTCGTAAATTGTTATCGCATTATATTTTTGATCTGAGCTCTGGGCAAGGCAATCTTCGTTTTGAAGATTTGTCGTGATGAATTTCCTCGTTGAGAGCAATCTGGCCCTTGGCGAGTCTATTTTTATTCTTTTTAGTCGCTTTGGAGGAAATACTTTGGGGATAATTAAATCTTCTGATCAGTCCGTTTCCTTGTAAACAAAAATTTTTTGAAAGAACATTTTTTCGCATTGAGGGTCATTATGTGTTTAATTGAAGATCCTTAGGATGTTATTTAATCACTTTATTCACTCTGAATGTGCGATTGTTTTCCTACATTAAAGGTTGTTTTAACGACGAGATTAAAAAGAGAAAGTTGTTTGTTTTTAGGCAGAGTCGATGTACAAGAAAGCATACATTTGCGACCCACATAACTCTCACGCAGTCTCTCTAATCAAGAGAACTGACCCACAAGTGCAGGAAATATACTCTGCAATCTACCAGAGAATAGATAGAAAACGAGACATCATAGCCCAAGTTCCACATAGGTACCCCATCACTAAATCGAACTGTCACTTAATTATCTGATCAGAAAACCGAATTGTATAACAATCAAGTATCAAGTATTTGGAGGTTTAAAAAAATTTGAATAATAATTACTATTTTACTCTGTAAGATTCTGCGAAAGAACCATATATTCTTATTTTTTGTTCCAAAATCAAGTTTTAAGTCTGAGTCTTGAACACATGTAATGATATCATCGGAGTAGTATAGCGCAACAAGAGGTCAAGCCTGTTTTCGGAGAAAGGTCAACCTGTCAAGGTCGCGTGACTATGTTACTCAATTAGCCTAATCTTTTTTTTTCTCGGGGGTCGTAATAAATATCTTATCAGATTAATTTTTTCACTTGAGTTGATTTTTAGGGGTATATGACCGGAATCATTGGGGACAATTTCGTCAATTGTTATTAAAGAGGATAACTTTATGAAATCGCTGAGGGGGAATAAAATATTATCAGATAACTTTTTTTCACTTGAAGTAATTTATCTCAAAGATATCAGAAAAAAAATTATTAAAATAAAAAATTCCCACTTTTGAGAAAAAGATATCAGAAAACATGTATATATAAAAAACAAAAAATTCTCAAATAATTTTTTTTGAAGTATCAGAAAAAATATATGAAAAAAACAGAAAATTCCAAAATTTGAGAAAAAGATATCAGATTATATATAAATAAAAACCAGAATAATCCAAAACCTGAAAATTTTTTGAAAGACATCAGAAAAAATTATAAAAAAAACTGAAAATTCCAAATAAATCCATTTTAAAATATCAGAAAAAAGTCTATGTAAAACCAAGAAAAGTTCAAAATTTGAGAAAAAATTTTAGCTCCTACTAAAATTTTCATCCCTTCTAACCTTATCTTTTACATCCTGTTTAATCCTTTGTTTTCCCCCAGGATATAATTTGTCAGAAGACTTTTATCTTTGTAATAAAAAATTATATACTCTTTATTCCAAAATTTGAGAAGAGGATATCAGAAAACATGTATAGATAAAAAAACAGAAAATTCTCAAACAATTTTTTTGAAGTATCAAAAAAATAGATGAAAAAAATAGAAAATTCCAAAATTTGAGCAAAAGATATCAGAAAACATCTTTATCTAAAAAAAAAACAGAAAACTCTCAAAAATTTCTTTCTGAGGTATCAGAAAAAAAAATATGTAAAAAACAAAAAATTCCAAAACTTGAGAAAAAGATATCAGATTATATATATATATAAAAAACCACAACAATCCGAAACCTGAGAAGTCTTTTAAAAGACATCAGAAAAAATTATATAAAAAACTGAAAATTTCAAAATAATTCCATTTTAAGATATCAGAAAAAAGTCTATGTAAAACCCGGAAAGTTTGAGAAAAAGATTTTAAGCTCCTACTAAAATTTTCATCACTTCTAAGCTTATCTTTTACATCCTGTTTAATCCTTTGTTTTCCCCAGGATATAATTTGTCAGAAGACTTTTATCTTTGTAATAACAAATTATATGCTCTTTATTCCAAAATTTGAGAAAAAGATATCAGACAACATGTATAGATAAAAAAAACAAAGTTCTAAAATATTTTTTTGAGTTGTCAGAAAAAAAACATGTTAAAAACGGAAAATTCCAAGATTTAAGAGAAAGATATCAGATTATAAATAAATAAAAACCTGAAAAATCCGAAACTTGAATTTTATTTGAAGTCATCAGAAAAAAAATTTATTAAAAAAGAAAAATCCCACTTTTGAGAAAGATATCAGAAAACATGTTTTCATAAAAAACAGAAAATTCTCAAATAATTTTTATTCAAGTATCAGAAAAATATATATCTAAAAAACCGAAATTTCCAAGATTTGAGAAAAATATATCAGATTATATATAATTAAAATACCAGAATAATCCAAAACCTGAGAATTTTATTTCAAGACATCAGAAAGAATTATATAAAAAACTAAAAATTCCAAAATAATTCCATTTAAGATATCAGGAAAAAGTCTATGTAAAACACAGAAAATTTCAAAATTTGAGAAGAAGGTTTTCAGCTCCTACTAATATTTTCATCCCTTTTAACCTTTTCTTTTACATCATGTTTAATCCTTTCTTTTTCCCAGTATATAAATTGTCAGATGACTTTTATCTTTGTATTGAAAAATTATATGCTATTTATTCCAAAATTTGAGAAAAAGATAACAGAAAACATCTTCATCTAAAAAAAAAACAGAAAACTCTCAAATAATTTTTTTTGAGGTATCAGAAAAAAATACATGTAAAAAACAGAAAATTCCAAGATTTGAGAAAAAGATATCAGATTACATATAATTAAAAAACCAGAATAATCCAGAACGTGAGAATTTTAATTAAAGACATCAGAAAAAATTATATAAAAAACTAAAAATTCCAAAATAATTCCATTTTAAGATATCAGGAAAAAGTCTATGTAAAACCCAGAAAATTTCAAAATTTGAGAAGAAGGTTTTCAGCTTCTAATAATATTTTCATCCCTTTTAACCTTTTCTTTTACATCCTGCTTAATCCTTTCTTTTTTCCAGGATATAATTTGTCAGAAGACTTTTATCTTTGTAATAAAAAATTATATGCTCTTTATTCCAAAATTTGAGAAAAAGATATCAGACACATGTGTAGATAAAAAACAGAAAGTTCTCAAATAATTTTTTTTGAGTTATCAGAAAAAAAACATGTAAAAAACAGAAAATTCCAAGATTTGAGAGAAAGATATAAGATTATAAATAAAAAAAACCAGAAAAATCCGAAATTTGAGACTTTTTTTAAGGACATCAGAAAAAATTATATTAAAACTAAAAAATCCAAAAAAATCCATTTAAAATATCAGAATTTGAGGTATCAGAAAAAAATATATGTAAAAAACAGAAAATTCCAAGTTTTGAGAAAATGATATCAGATTATATATATATAAATATACAAAAAACCAGAATAATCCGTAACCTGAGAATTTTTTTAAAAGACATCAGAAAAAATTATAAAAAAAACTGAAAATTCCAAATAAATCCATTTTAAAGTATCAGAAAAAAGTCTATGTAAAACCAAGAAAAGTTCAAAATTGGAGAAAAAAAATTTAGCTCCTACTAAAATTTTCATCCCTTCTAACCTTATCTTTTACATCCTGTTTAATCCTTTGTTTTTCCCCCGGGATATAATTTGTCAGGAGACTTTTATCTTTGTAATAAAAACTTATAGGCTCTTTATTCCAAAATTTGAGAAAAAGATATCAGAAAACATATATAGATAAAATAGAAAGTTCTCAAATCATTTTTTTGAGTTATCAGGAAAGAAATTATGTAAAAAACAGAAAATTCTAAGATCTGAGAAAAAGATATCAGATTATAAATAAATAGAAACCAGAAAAATCGGAAGCTTGAGAATTTCATTTTGAAACATCAGAAAAAAATTATTTAAAAAAAATTCCAAGGTTTGAGAAAAAGATATCAGATTATATATAAATAAAAAACCAGAATAACCCAAAACCTAAGAATTTTATTTAAAGACATCAGAACGAATTATATAAAAAACTAAAAATTCCAAAATAACTCCATTTTAAAATATCAGGAAAAGTCTATGCAAAACCCAGAAAATTTCAAAATTTGAGAAGGTTTTCAGCTCCTACTAAAATTTTCATCCCTTTTAACCTTTTCTTTTACATCCTGTTTAATCCTTTCTTTTTCCCAGTATATAAATTGTCAGAATACTTTTATCTTTGTATTAAAAAATTATATGCTATTTATTCCAAATTTTAAGAAAAAGATAACAGAAAACATCTTTATCTAAAAAAAACAGAAAACTCTCAAATAATTTTTTTGAGGTATCAGAAAAAAATAATATGTAAACAACAAAAAATTCCAAGATTTGAGAAAAAGATATCAGATTATATTAATTTTATATAAAAACCAGAATAATCCAAAACCTGAGAGTTTTTTGAAAGACTTTAGGAAAAATTATATAAAAAACTGAAAATTCCAAATAAATCCATTTTAAAATATCAGAAAAAAGTCTATGTAAAACCAAGAAAAGTTCAAAATTTGAGAAAAAATTTTAGCTCCTACTAAAATTTTCATCCCTTCTAACCTTATCTTATACATCCGGTTAAACCCTTTTTTCCCCAGGATACAATTTGTCAGAAGACTTTTATCTTTGTAATTAAAAATTATATGCTCTTTATTCCAAAAATTGAGAAAAAATTATCAGAAAACATGTTTAGATAAAAAAAACAGAAAGTTCTCAAATCATTTTTTTGGAGTTATCAGAAAAAAAACATGAAAAAAACAAGAAAATTTCCAAGATTTCAGGAAAAGATATCAGATTATAAATAAATAAAATCCAGAAAAATCCGAAACTTGAGAATTTTATTTAAAGACATCAGAGAAAATTATATTAAAAATGAAAATTCCAAAAAATTTCAAAACTTGAGAAAAAGATTTTTAGCTCCTAAAATTTTCATCTCTTCTAACCTTATCTTTTACATCCTGTTTAATCCTTTGTTTTTCCCCCAGGATATAATTTGTCAGAAGACTTTTATCTTTGTAATTAAAATTTATCTGCTCTATTCCAAAATTTGAGAAAAATATATCAGAAAACATGTATAGATAAAAAAACAGAAAGTTCTCAAATAATTTTTTTTGAGTTATCAGGAAAAATTATGAAAAAAACAGAAAATTTCAAGATTTCAGAAAAAGATATCAGATTATAAATAAATAAAAACTAGAAAAATCCGAAACTTGAGAATTTTATTTTAGGACATCAGAAAAAAATATTTTAAAACTGAAAACTCCAAAAAAATTCCAATTAAAGATATCAGAAAAAAGTCTATGTAAAACCCAGAAAATTTCAAAATTTGAGAAAGAGATCAGAAAGAAAAAAAAAATCCTATATTGAGTTGATACAAAAATAAAATTGTTAGAAGAACAAAATTTACACGAAATATTACTCTATTAAATGGTAGAAAAATGACATAGCGAAAAAGAATACAATTTTGCTCTCTGAACAATATCTTGAAAAACTAATTTCGAAATAGAGAAAAAATAAAAAACAATTCCAAAAATCGACACTAAGATGTATCTTATTTTCGTCATAAAAAATATTGTTGAAAGATTTCTTCAACAAAACAAAAAAGATTGAGAAAAAATTGATGTTCTCAATTTATCAAAAATCGAATATATGAAACTCGAAAATGAAACCGACAGAAATTGAAAAAACTTAAAAAACGTTTTATATAGAAAATTTCTTTCTTTCCAAAAAATAAGCGTTTGAATTTTTTTACCAAATTGATAAGCAATTATTTTATTAAATCGAAATTTTGAGTGATCGTTGTTGTACTGCTTAATCTTACATACCCTTCAACCCTTTCTTCATCTCGGGATATCAGAAGAAAAATGACAGGACACGATTTTAATCTTTTTGATTTTAAAAATTTGACACTTTATGTTTAGTTTTTTCATTGTCCCCAGGGCTATCCTAAGAAAATTGACAGGAGAATTTTTTTTTCTTTTAAAATAACTTCTGTATGATATTTAATCATCATTGTTTTTGGTGGACTGACTACCTCATGACTATTTGACAGCAAGTTCTTATTTTTGACAGAGCTTCAGGGGGTAAATTACATCTCTCTCTGTCGAACTGATAAATTGCGTTAGCGATTTTGTATAAGGAAAGAAACTCTGATGGACAGTATAAATTCTCTTGAAAAAACTATTCCATTCAGTCAATCAAGTATGTTTCATAATTGTAAAATGCTGCCCGTGAAAATGATGTACAAAAATACAAAGAAAAATACCATAGTGTACATTGAAAAAAAGCATAGTTTCCATAGGACCCTCGGGAGATTTTTCTCGCAATTTCCATCATTTCGTTTCTACGCAAAAGTCACTTTTCATTCACTGCTTGGCAGTGAAACTAGAACACTTTTTCTTTAATTAAATTTAGAATATTCCCAATTGTTTTTTCGGAAAATTGACAAATTCTCCACTCGTCCAAGTTGAATCGTGTTAACAGCTAAGAAAATGTTTTACCTTATAAACTGAAACAATTTGGAAGGAACCGAATGTTTTTCTTAACTTATTTCGATTAAGGAAATTGGAGTTTCGCATTTGAAAAAAAAAAGATATTCATGTCCAATCTATCCTATGGAGAAGATGTGATAACTGATTCCGATATTCAAGACGAAGTTTCAGTGCAGTTTTTCTCAGACATGTTGGAAAACGAACCCTCAAAGTTAGAGAAAATATGGTTAGTCCTAATCTGTACGATATCATTTTTCCGATAATGATGTATACAGCAAGCAATGACAGATAATAACTTGGAGAACTTGTTATAGTTCAGGAGCGGTATGAGTTGATATAGAATTTCGAAAGTGACTGGGACAGAGCGGTTACCGGAAAAAATGACAAAGGTGGAACGAATCAAACCAGTATGCAGAAAACACTCTCTTGGAACACAATGTTCCCAGGTCCCTTCACTTCTCCGCGTAATAATAAGAAGATAGAAGCCAATTTTCTGTCTAAAAAGAAAACTAACGCGCCAACTGAGACCAACTTGGATAGATCATAAGTTTTATCGAACGGAGGAAAATTTGATATACATATTCAAGCGAAGAAAATAAAAAACAACCTGAAGTTTTGAGATTTCTTCCTAAAAAGACGAAAAAGTTTTTGCAGTTTTTTGTTATGAGAAAAGAA